ATCTTTACTAGATCAACCCTTACTCAATAGTCGTAAGGGCGATTTATTATTGTCTTCGGTCTTCTTCAGTGTATGATTATTGTTATATATTTTCGTAGAATAAAATTAACACATGTCAGTCACATATATTAACAACCGTCGGTGACAACTCGTAAAAATTTCCCCGGCTCCCACAATTCAAGTATTTGAGTTGTTCCACTCCGATGATATGCAACCCTTGTAAACTTATCCATAAATTCCACTAAAAGAGACTACAACAACCATGACCAAGAAGATGAGGAGAAATGTCTCAAGTCTCCATTTTCCAGAAAATGAGGGTGAGTCTACAATAAAAATGGAAATCAATGATGTCAACTACTTACTACACTTTCCCCCTAACATTAGGTTCACCCAATTTAGCTCTGAAATCAACGGTGGACCTCATTTAAGTTGTATCGTGGGACACCCTTCCATATACACGTTTTACGCTCTCGCCATTTAGGACTACACTTGGTGAACGCTGTTATATTTAGACTCAAACACAAGTATGTAAATGGTGAACATATTTTATAGGTGCATTGACACTTGGTTTACATGTGGGTACATAAATTTTTATAGGTGCATTGACACTTGGTGTTAAACTTCAGTGTCTTCTTTTTTTTTTCAAAACATCGAACAACTCTTTTTGGTTATCTTGCAATCACTAGTTTGACAATAAAAAAGTTATATAAAAAGGGTAATGGTTGACGTTGGAACAATAATGTTGGAGAGTTTAGTCATGTAATGTCGAACTGCTTAGACGAGACACCCGTCATATTTAGATAACATATATATTATAATATCGGGATGACGAAACCGTGCATTGCCAACTATTGCGCATACTTTTATTCTTTGGGTAACTTGACATGACTTTAACCTGTACATACGTGGTGTTCGAGTTAAAAAAACAGACGGCTTCACGAGTGTAGTCCAAAATGTGCGAGAGCGTAAAACGTAGTATATGATGGAAGTATGGGACGTTACTATGTTTCAGTAAGTTTGATCGACGTGGCAAATGGTCCGAAACTTCCTTTGTGAAATTACTAGCTTAGTAATATTTTGTATAGTATATGATAATAAGCAACTTACCTGGGTTACGTGTTCTGACACAATACAGGATCCTGAGACCATGAAGATGAAGAATGAGTTAATGTTCTAAACTCATGAAGATGAAAATGACTTCATGTAATAGACTCATGAAGATGAAAATGAGTTCCATGTTCTGGACTCCTGAAGATGAAAATGAGTTCATTCTTCTACGACCCTATGAAGTATGAGTTCATGTTAGTAGACCCTCATGAAGATGAAAATTAGTTCATGTTATAGATATGGTGGAGCAAATATCTGATACTCTTTTTGATAAGAGATCTTTCGATTCCGATTTCGGGCATTCTCGTATCGCTCCTACCTCTGTTACATACGATCGACATCCCGAGTCTGCGCGCGTAAGGCAATTTACTAATAACGCTGTCTTTGTTACAATAACGACAACGGTGTACTGCGCGAGCCGGCGATCGGTGCTCTCTGACCGAGCACTTGTGGGCTACGAAAAGTTTATTATTCTGCCGGTATTATTCTGCCGGTATTTTACTGCGCTTCTTCTCCCGCATTGAACATCGCAGAAACTCCGTTCAAACATCAAAACGTTCAGCTCGGTCGGGAATTGATGGCTATTACTTTTCTCATTCATAACTTTCATAATTCCAGAGATACATCCCATAATTCATCAAATTGTTAACATTGAAGTCAATGGAGGAAATCTTCAGACTTCAACAAATCTTCATGCGATTCAACTGCTAACTGTTCATTCATACTTTCACTCAGAAAGCTCATTCCAACTTTAAAATGTTACACATCTTTCTGACATTATTCGTGTAAAACAACTTTTAAATCTGATTCTTACTTTTAGAGATATTAAACATTGTTCAGACCTTGTTTTAGAGGTTTTCTTCAGATTTTAACATTAACTAGAGTGCATGGTGTCACAGCTAGAGGGTAGAAAATCTTGAAATTTGCCTTCATATATTTTTTTAAAACTGTCATAATTCCCAAACCCTACATTCCTGAGACATAATTTATCATGACAAATGTAGGAAAACATCTCGTAGCTTGAAAAATGACAAATAATTAAGCAAAAATAATTAAACAAAATGCCTCTTGAGGGCATGAAGTGACAAAAACGTTCAACATTCCTCCATTAAAGCCCATTGTAATTTCAGGCTGATATTTCCACACAGCACCAGCCGCACACCTTTAGTTAAACTGCCAAAAAGGCCACATTATTAACCTGAAAGTACACAAAAATTACACTTCAGATACTCAACTTCCTTGACATGCTTCACGTTTTGAAATTTCACAGATATCTGTTACGGTTCTTCCACAAAACGCTCACATGTAAGAGGTTTATCTCTAATTCAGAACAATGGAAAACTTTGATCTCTGCACACCTCGTTAGTTCAAATATAACCACCTGTGTGATGGAACACGATGATGTCATCGCTCCAACTGACATGCTCAGAGCAGCAGACTTCAGATAGCAGTATGCAAACAGTCCAGCCGTGAAGACATCTACGGGACAGTTTTGAGATTTCTTCAAATGCCGTTGCCATGGCAACACAATGCTCGCCTTGAAACACGGTTTTCTCATAACTTCAGTGAAAATACTCCAAACAGCCCAGAACTTCAAAGGTTTGGTAACGATGCAGCCATCAACGCATCTAAGCGTATTATGGGATGTCATCAAATGCCGTTGCCATGGCGACGGACCACTCGCCATGAAACACGATGTGGCTGTAAGTCNGGATGTCATCAAACGCTGTTGGCATGGCGACAGATCATTCGCCATCAAGTTAGTTCAGAAGTTTGCAGTTCAAATATTCTGCTGCTTTTCCAAGCCTTTTTACTTTCTTTTCTTCTCTCATCACACATTCAAGCCCCCAGTGTTCATTTATCATTTCAATCTAAATTCTTCACTTTCTTCTTACACATTAAATTTCAGCATAGCACTTTAGCGTCATATTTTCAGCATAAAGCATTCCCACTAGCAATTTCTTCAGGAATTGCATTCTCTAGTTCTAAATTACTGTACAATTTTGAATAGTTAATCTACTATAATTAGTTTGTTTAATATCGAATCAAATCAATGTTTTAAAGCTCAATAGATAACAAAGAAGACCTTTGACCGGCACTTTTCTAATTTTGTCCGGAAGATTTAAACTTTAACGGACATTTGGACCGGCAAAAAAATATATTCTAACGGGAACTCTGGGCAGTACAGCATAACCAATAAAATGCAATTCAAATGTATACAATTTTCCTGGCTTTGATACTTGCCAGATGCATTTTCTAGAAGATTTAAAAAAAAAAATACTTTGCAAGACTCAAACACACATCTTACACACCTGCAGCAACAAGTGCTAGGAATCAGTGTTTTTCTGAATGTTCTCCAGGAAAAGCCAAATATCAATGTATCTCTGGTCTTTGTCCCAAAACCAAGAAGGATATTTCCAGTCCCTCAGCCAACTGGAGTCACTTTTTCCACTCCTGAAGCCAAAGAAACACTATTGTTTGAGAGGGAATTAAGTCACACTCTTCTTCCAAGTTTCCTTATCGAAAATAGGTTCTTACACATCAGTCCGCGCTTTTTACGGACATCTACTTCCGGAACAAGTTTGTAGGTCCAAACTACAGAAGGATTATCATCTACATCGCATTTGCGCTTTATGTAATATAGTTTACTGAGCTGAAATCTATGAAAGTCATAAGAATAACATCACTTTTCTTCATCATGCATCCTCACACTAACACCATCCTTTTGTGTTTGACCCACAGCAGATGACAGATTTAACACCTCAAATCAATTAGGTAATTTGGCAGGCATTGGAAATGTACTGTCTTGCCAAAAGTAAAACAAAATCCAGGCATCCAACAGGAGGAAGTGGTCCTCTTCTCTGGCAGCTCAGAAACTCCACTGAGGGGAAAAAGCCGCCATATAAGGCAGCTCCAAATGTAGCATGGCGTGTGAGTGGATGTCTGTGTGTGTGTGTGTGCGTGTAGGTTTGTGAGTCACATGAATTAGTGCACACACACAGAAATCCAGGCCAGAGATCCTGACACATAAAACCTCAATCCAGGTTTCATAAAGTGGATTTTAGCTTATTAATAGGGGAATAAACAAGCTTCTTTAACTATTGAAACTTTTACGTAAGTTTTATTATAAACACTTCAAATATAAAAAGTACTATCTATGATCTGTTTTGTAACACTGACCCCATAGGACCTGAAATACTCATAACCTACCCTAATAGGGATGAAAGCATTGGTGATAGTGGTCCCATTTTGCTTCATTCTTCTTACTTCACATATTTAGTTTTGAGTGAACAACAATGCCTTTTCGAGATCAAACAGGTGGCTTTTCATTACATCATAACTTGCTTTCTTTTAAATCACAATTACCATTATTAAATTACTTAAATAATGCATTTTTAGTTGTATGCTCATTAGTGTGTAAATAATCCATCTACAGTCTTACCCCTGGAGATAAGGTTACCCAGGAGTTCATCTCAAGTTTGAAATAAGCATGGACAACATGTCCTCAAAGTACTCAAACAATATTTGACTGTAACTCCTGCGCTGAGAAAGACCATGTGATGCAACTGAACGGAAAATAGTTTTTTAAGGTCAGGGATAAACTTTTACTCTCTGTTTTGGAGAGCTGTGATGAATGGCTTGTTTAAGTTGGAGGACTCACGACTCAATTCATCAGAGCAGAGACTTCCAAACATTTAAGCGTGTTGTGAAATCCGATATTTAAAGACATGAGAGGGTTAGCCACTTATAGCAGACTGTATCCTGTATGAAAGATCATTAAATGTAATTTATATGAAGATCATGTAGGTCCTAACACAACGCCTTCTGATTTGTGAGGCGATAGGGAGAAGTTACAACTTAGTTTAACTCTTAACACCCTTTTGTTTGCCTTGTAGGCTGTGCTCATATATTATAAGCACATGCATGTGGTTGTGTTTGAAGCTCCTGTCTTGGTTTAAAGACACAGAGGGTCAAAGTGAGACAGAGTGTGTGAGAGTGAGTCTCGCTCACCATACATGGTGAAACCCAGTTGTATAGCTTCCTCCTTGCTAGGAGGCCTTTCACACACTGGAGACAGGGCATCACACCACACGTTTCTGTGTGAGAAGGTGTGTGTCGGCTCGCATCTCATAGCTATGGACTATGCAGCAGATGGGGACTGACCAAAGCTAAAGCAGCACTTTAGAAACAAGAAATACATGTAATAATAACTTAATGAATATAAGCGCAGTAAATGTCAACAGATTGAAACAGATAGAAGTGAAACTTATTGCTATAGGGACGATTATTGTCTTGATTATTCCATTATTTCTTTGGTCTATTAAACATCCTAAAACTGTAAAATGTGTCTATACCAGTCCAAGATGACGTGTTCAAAGCTCTATGAAACAGTGAGGGTCCTTTTTCACTATATTTTGATATTGTCTAAACCAAACAATTAGACGATTATGCAGTACGTTTTAGTTGCAGTCCTGGTAATATAATATTCTGAGGGTTTATTGCCTCACTGATCATTTTCTACTTACAGTTTATTAATGTGGTGAAGGAGAAGAGGAAGTCAACTGATCCAGGGTCGTTGAGGATGAAGCAGAAGTTGACAATCTGTGAAAAAACAGTCGTTTTACATTTATTAGTACGAATTGTGTGTGTGCAAACTGTTAATTATGTCTCGTACAATTCATTACAGGGGTATTGTATGTTTGTCCACATAACTGCATCAAAAAAAGTGGGACATGAAATTGTTGAGCGTCGGTTGTTTCTCACTTTCTACAACAGTAACAGAAATAAAAACAAAAGTGTGTTTCAGTCAAAAACAGATTGGCCCCAAATCACAGTGGGGTTCCCTATTTGTCAGTGAGTGTCAGTGAGTGTGTGTGTTCAACATTCGAATAAAGCGTGAATAATTTCTTTAGAGGGACGGAGCAGCTGTAGCCCTTTCACATGAAAATGAGCATCGCCCACAGCCTCAAACACAGGGCGCGCGCGTGTGTGTGTGTGTGTGTGTGTGTGTGTGTGTGTGTGTGTGTGTCTGCTCGTGTGTGAAACGGCGTCTTGCTCAAGTTAGCATCACTTCCTTCTGTTGTTTCAGGAAGTGTCTCTAAACGAGTCACTCTGGCTGACAAACAGTAACCTTCAGTCAGATTTCTGTTGCACTAACACCTGGCTGCACATTATTATCACTGTGTGCTTTGAGCAGTAATGGAAGAAGTATTCAGAGCCTCTACTGTAAAGACGATGTAAGAAGAGTACAGATACACCGTCTTAAGAGTATGTTTTTGTATTATTTACTGTGCGTTTATGTAAAAGTAGGATGTGACTTGTTGTATGGAAGGACAGATATGTGTCTGCCTGTTTCACATCACAACGGGGCAGAACAAAGATGTTACTGCTCTGATATCCTGCTACACTTACTGCACTTTCTCAGCGTTGATGGAAAAAGGGGAATGCCATACACTTGTTTTCAAATCTCTTACGATTGGTGTTACACAAGATTAACCTGAACACCCACATCTAGCTTGGCAAAAGGACCAGGTAGTTGGTGTGACACGGCGTCTTTGTGAAGCTGCATTTATCGTTTCTTTGTTACATTAGTATTTCACTGTGAACGTTTAGAGAACATTCATTTGTGTTCAATTTGGCCAGTTAAAGCTAACTACAAGGAGGTCAAGAGTCAGAGGTCAATGGGTTTTTCTCACTAAGCGGATCATTAAAAATGTATACACTTTTATGGGAGTGTAAAAAGCAGAGGGGTCATTTTACAGTTTTTTTTCCTACATTTATTTTTCAAATCCTTTTTTGAACATATTAAACCATAATAACATCTGCATACTGTACATCTGTCCCAGGCTGCACAAATAATCAAAATAGCAATATTGACTAAGTGCCATAGTCAAATTTCATGCATCCTACATCTGTCCCAAACCAAAAAACCTTTAATGACTAACTTCATATGAGAGAAGATACAAAAGAGGCTACTCAGGAAGCGCCTGCCTGTCGATTTACATTATGACAGCATTTTGAATACAAAAAGTAGACCACAATGCACCTGCATCCAGTTGTAGTAAAACAAGTCTCTTTACATGGTACTGAAATTGTTCCACAGCACAGAATGCGTTTGTGAAACTAGAACAGCATCTTTTCCCTCTCAGCAAGAAATGCCACTATTGGTTGAAACATGACCTATTAGCATACAGCATGATTGTGCATTTTCTCTCTAACATCCAAACGAAGCTAAGATGTCATCCTCCCGACATCAGCCCAGTGTCAGAGTGATAATCCTGGTGATGTCTGTCAAAATGCCCGTCAAACAGATGGCGGTTCACACACACATACCCGAGGACGTCTGCTGCTGATGGATGTAAACAAACTCACGCTGCAGACGGCGTCACGAGGCAGAGACTACAGCCAGCCCACTCCCTCCCTTCTTCCTATTGCTCTCTCCAACAGCTCGCTGCTTCTCAAACGTGCACGCCTATTAACTCTTTGTGTGCCTGGTCTGCAGCAAAAACAGCCTCTTCCAGTAAGGATTGAAGATAGAACACTTCATAACAACCGGATTTAATGCAGGACTGTTGCATTACTTTCAGCCTAGCTTTGCTGGTGCCAGCTTCTAGACAAATAATAACTTTTAGCAATCATTCGACTTCCTTTCTTTTGCAAAATGCAGCCAAATGTTCAACAATGTAAGTAAGGCAAGACACATGTAGATACTTCCCTAAGAAGGATCATCTAAAACTGTCAAAATATTGATGTTTATCAGGAACTGTCTTAGCATGGAATCAGGAAACAAATATGGCTTGATCTTACATCAGGTATTTATTGCAGGAGAGACGGATGTTACACATAAGTAGGAACTCATCACGTTGTTCGCCATGCCCTCTATGTAGTGTCCTATCTTTGGCAACAACACACACATTGCTTTTGAGGCCTCTCCTTTCCCCCCCGATGCTCATCAATATTTCATTTGACTGTTTCATGAGAGCTCGCAGTATCAGCGACTATCTGCTTGTCAGACCTACTTAACTATACACTCCTAAAGAGACGTTATGCTTTTTTTACTTTAATAATTAAGCATAAAACGTGTGTCTTTTTGACTATAGTCACTTTTGTACTGTTCTGTGTAATGCTTCCGGAGTTTAAGTTGATGAGAATGATGAGTTACAGGCGATCTATTTTAAGTGAGGAGAATGACACACAACTCATCATCACTGATCTGATTCCCCTCGTTATGTCAGCTTTGGGCTTTCCCTTCCTCCATCTTTCAAAAGCAGACGGGCAATAAGACACACAGTCGGCTGTAGATGCATGGTATGACGAGAGCAAGAGATGCACAAGCAGAGGAAGACACAGATCAGGAGGAATCCACAGGAGTCTGCTCGACCCTCGAGAGCTGAGGGGGAGAGTTTGATGACACACACACACACACACACACACACACACACACACACACACACACACACACACACACACACACACACACACACACACACACTAACAATGTGATTTCATATCAAATCATACTTCATCAACCAAATCAAACTGCTCGATAAAGCCAATTACAAACAGAGGTCACTACAGATGAGATGAATAATCAATATGACGATAAAAATGGAATTAATCAGCAACTATTTTGATTATCCATTTATTGCTTCAAATCAGAAATGCACTAAAGTGAAGTACATTATAATCAAATGTTAGTTACATCAATAAGTCTCTAAACAGCCTAGTTTACACTGATGCTAGTAAAGCCTGACTCATGAGGTGTTTGCCTTAGAACTGCAACTAACGACTATTTTTATTATTATCTAAGGAAATATCAATCTGTTGATTTTTGTCTAAAATGTGAAAAAGCTCAGCAAAGTTTCTTCATCATGAAGTTGCCTGTTGTGTCCAAACTACAGAGTAACCCCCAATAAGTACTTCATTACAAAAAGTAGAACATCCTCACACTCGAGAAGATGGAAAAAACAAACGTTTGGCAATTTGGCTTAAATGAATGCTGCCAGTGATTGGCTAGACAGAAGAAACGATATGGATAATAACTGGAAATGATGAATCATATGGAAAGGGTCCCAGCTGGATTCCTAATGGGATATCTGAGCAAAACAATGTTTCTTACATTATTCTGGTATAACTATGAAACAGCGGAGCCACTTGTATCACTTCCTCCTGCATTTCTACATAAATGATTGCTATCCACTATTTAATTTATGCAGGAGGAAGTGAACATAAGTAGGGGTTTCCAAGAATGGAGTAAATGGCAAATAGACACTGCACAACAAAGACGCATATTTACTTTTTTTTTAATTAGGTTAAGGACAAGGGGTCTCAAAATAAGTGAATGCCAGGTTGAATAAAGGGTTAGGAGAGAGGGAGCCTACATGCATAGCTGTCATAAGTATGTTATAATCCCCTAACATAGACCAAGCTTGGGTCAGATGATGACACCTGAGGCAGCTCTACTCTTTGAACAAAGGCGGGCAAATCAGGCTAAAAGCTCCCAAAGCTTAGATTTCTATTAGGTCACATGCACAGGGGCGTTTCCTGGACCTGGAAGCATTCGGGGCTTAGCCCACAGTGGCGGCGGCAGAGATTGTCTTTTGGGGGTGCTGTGGGGTAGCTTGACGTTTCATAGAGGGTGCTCAAACATTTAGGGTATCCCATTAAGGTACCGGGCACTACAGTGGAATGTTCTACTGCAACACTCCCCACGCACAGTACACCACTGTTACAATGAAGGCTCGATAATCAGCTCACGGCCTATAGGTGTAAGCAGGGGTCCCCATCTCCTCTATGGGGGTCCGGATGCATTCATGCTCCTCCGGCAAGATTTTTTTTTTAATATTGAAGTTAAAGCATTAATCTGGTGCACTTATCTGTGGATACATTTCTCAACACCCATATGAAACAGAACTGTAAACACATTTTCTTTTTCTTTATGGATATTTTACAAAACACTCCCCTTTTAAACTGTATTCTTGTTTTAGTGTCATGCAGATACAAACATATGATTTCGGGCTTTAAATACACGATATCAACTTGACGAAGGCGGCAACAAAAAACTGTGTTCATCACTAACTCATTGATAAATACTTTGATTTGTAAAATGTCAGAAAATAGGGAAAAATTTAAATCCTAGTTTCTAAAAGTCCAAGCTGATATGTTAGTTTCTTGTTTTGTCAGGAAATAAATAAATAAAGAGTACCCAATGTGTAGCAAATACTTTTCAGTAAATCTGATAACCGATAAGTTGACTTATTCTAAACTAGACACAACATTGGTGCCATTTGCATCTTTGGACAACATCTAACCCTCAAGTTTGTTGGTACATGCTATACAAAAACTCCCACCTGAAGCCACTTCCTGAATGAAACTTTCACAGACAGGGCCTCACTTAAAGCCCCTCACTCTCTTCCCCCTTAAAGAGCACCATCAGCTCTTGGAAATCGATGACCTTGGCTCCTGCACAGCGAAACTCAAAACCACTGTGATGGTCAGGAGAGACTGCAGTGAAATGTGTGGACAACATGCAAAACTCACATGTGCACATCCAGTCAGAATGCAGCGCCACACACACACACACACACACACACACGTCTGAGCAATAACCAAATACATGCATGTGTGTGTGTGGAGGGTGATTTGCAGGCTTAGAGCAGCAACATCACTGCAATGTCATAACATTAGCATGTCCAATCATGCCATGTGAATAACTATGTTTACACAAACACACACAGACACACACACATACACTTGAAGGAAATTGCACCCTTTCCTACCTAAGTTATGTAATACTGGCAGGAGCAGTATGTCACAGGCTGTCACCTGTCTGCGACACACAATAACCCACTTACACAATATAATACATAAAGCTAGGGAAGGTTTTCCATATTAAAATCACACTTTACCCCGAATATGTAGCCCTTTTCGCTAAATGTTAGTTGGTCTTAATAGGTCCTGTCATGCACGTGGGCTAGTCAGCTGTACTTACATTCTTTCTGTCCATGTTTATTAAGTTACGGGGTAAAAAAACACGCTTAAAATGTGTTCAGTTTATCAACATACGTAGTTACAAAACTAGATAAAGCTACCGTTTCCGAACTTACTGAAACAACGACAAAGCTGCAACCCTTAGCTCTTTAGGGGACCATAGCGGTCATTACGGGACGTATTTTTGAATTAAAATTAACTCTAAAAGTCGACACTTACCTATGCAGTTGCGTTTGGTGGGGAAATGTCTTTTTTACTTGATAAAAACACAACTGTTGTGAGGTGTGTGTCCACAAACTGCCGCACTGTCTCTCTGCTTCTTCTGGATACAGCCGCAGCGACTGCCGTTGGCCACGCCCCCTGCGTTTGCACGTTGCTGTCGTCATCACGCACCACGTAGACCTTTTCAAAACAAAAATAAATTTTATTTTACACCAACCTTCTTTTACATTATGTGTTTTCCAATTATAATGCATTGTATACGCTGGAGTTAAAGAGAGCAACTAGTAATATTATAAATACCCTCAAATTCTTGTTTATCATTTCACTGCAAGAAATGCAATATCATGGGTACATATTCATCCTTTAATTAATTTAATAATATTAGAGGCTGCTAGCAGTAGGGATGATAGCTATTAATAATGATTGTAATCAAAAATGACATTTTTCAATATCTGTGGTAGAGCCACTGTTCCAAAGCAGAGTGGCCTTCTATTGCCATCGTGTGTGGTGTAAAGGGTATTACAGGTTTCAACCACAATTTGCCTTTTAAAGCTGTGCATAACTCTGCTGTACAGTGGCAAGAAAGTGAAGTGAACCCTTATGAACAACCTGCATGTATCTATACATTTGTTCTAAAATGTGCTCTGCACCTAAGTAACAATAATGAACGAACACAATCTGTTTTAACTAATAGCACACAAATGATAATTTTCTTGCATTGCTGATTCAAGGCCTGGACAGTTTGTCATCCTTAACAGAAAAATTAATTCTCAAGATTATCAAGATATCCTGCAGGATGAAGCTCAGCAGAGGTTGGCGGGTGAAGCAGGACAATGACCTTACATATTAAAGTAAATGTAATACAGAATGGCTCACTTTTAATGACCAATTCCTGCATAAAATCAGGAAACTCCAAAGGGTTCACAAGTCATTAACATGGGAAGTTTCATTGTGTCAACTATTAGTAAATATGTTAAACTGATTCACCTGTAGTGTCTAGTTTAACTGTTCTCTTCTCACATAATGGGCTCCTCCCAGAATAGGCAGGGCACACAGGTGATGTGACACAAGCAGGTTCTTCAACACTTTTAACCAAATGTCAGTTACGCGTCAAACAGGATTATGTTGAGGTTGTTTTTGAGAAGGACTTTCTTCGGAATTTCTAAATGAAAACTAAACTATTATTTTTCAAATGGCTACAGACTAAGCTGCACAATAGAGGTAAGACACATTGGAGATTTTTCCGATCTGTGTACCAGTGGAAATGGGTTCCTCTGTTTTATGTAGAGCAGGGATCAAGAGAGGAGTGTCCTGTATGCTTCTGTTGCTCTTGCTTTTCTGCTTTGGAGGTAAATGTGAGGTTCAAGAGTCAAAACCTTCACCGCCAACCAACCTCCAACCTGTAGAGAATGAATTCAACCAGCCCCAGGCATACCCAGAGGAGGAGAGGGCCAACCTCCCTATGTTCACCATGGACTACCCCCGGATCCAGATCCCCTTTGAGATCACTCTGTGGGTGCTGCTGGCATCATTTGCTAAAATTGGTACGTGTGGATGAAACACTTTGGATAAAGAAATAGGTTGTTTCAGAAAGTAACTAATTTAATCAAGAACTGTGCTCAAGTACAATTTTAAGAAACATTAAAAAATACTTATATCCATTTACTGCTAATTCATATTTCAAATGCATACTTTATACTTTTTAGTACACTACATCTATTTGATGAAGGAAGTTACCTTACAGATTCAGATAGATAACACAAAATCAATCAACAAATACATGTTTATTATAGGAGTTAAGGGAACATTTGAGGAATCCCAGCAACACAGCCCCACCTTTACAAGCTTTAAAATGTATAAACAAATAGTATCAAACATTATAGACCAAGAGTGCATGAAACATAATTTGAATTAGGCCTGATATCCTCTATACTTTTGGCAATTTGAATATATATATATATATATATATACATTAAGGCTGGTGCTTTTATTTAAATAACATTTGTATGCAGGACTTGTATTTCTATATATTTATCTTAATTAAAGATGCAAGTACTTCTTTCACCACTTTGCAACCTTGAATAAAAGCAGTAGATTATTTGCAATACCCTAAAGTTTGGGGTTAAAGGTGAGTTGTCTCTTCTCACTATCTTGTCTTCCCTCCAGGTTTCCACATTTACCACAAAATCACCATCTGGATCCCAGAGTCATGCCTCCTGATCGCCATCGGCCTCATCGTGGGGGCCATCATGCACGCAGTAAAAGAGGAGCCGCCCGCCGTCCTCACCTCCAACGTCTTCTTCCTCTACATGCTGCCCCTCATCGTCCTCGACAACGGTTACTTTATGCCTACGAGGCCATTCTTCGAGAATATGGGCACAGTGCTGTGGTACGCCGTGGTGGGGACCCTGTGGAACAGCATCGGCATCGGGCTGTCCCTCTTCGCCATCTGCCAGTTTGAGGTGTTCGGAGTTCAAGATATCAACCTGCAGGTCAGTTCAGGCCATAGCGAAAGGTCAAAAGTGAACATTTTGGATGAAATGTGTGTGATATTGATGCATGTGATTGAACTTTTATGTTGTATCAACAGAAATGCAAAGCTTCAATTATGCTCACTTTTGAGGGAAATTCGGCTCAAACACTATCCCTCTCAGGTCAAGAGAATTGCATTATCATGTATATCAGGGGTGTCAAACTCAATTTCAACACGGGCCACCATCATTATGGTTGCACTCAAAGGGCCGGTTGTAACTTTAAGACTATATAAAAATACATATGCAAATATTTAATATATATAAAATAATGTATTATATTACATTATTGCCTCTGCATTGGATTATTATTGGATAGGGTAATAACTTCATAATTAACTACGTCTGAAAGCAGAAGTCTGGGGCAAGTCTCTTGAGTGAGAATGTCACAAAATGATTTAAAAAGAAAAGCCCCATTTTGAAAAAAAAATCTATTTTTAAAGAAAAAGTCAAATTCTAAGAAAAAAGGCATATTTTGAAAAAAAAAGACAAATTCTGAGAATAAAGACAAATTTGAGATGCATTGTGGGACATGTTGTTTATAGGCAACGTGCTTCTGTAAAGTAGAATGTAACCCTATAATAAACATATTATATTTTTTGCAAGCTCTTATAGGGCCACAGAAAATGAAGTCTTGAGTTTGACATCCCTGATGTATATTAATAAGGAAAGTTTTCCCAATGTGTTTTGCGCAGGACCCTTAAAAATAACAGTATGTCTAAATTGGCATATTACAAATTCCCCCCAGTTAAAGTTTGACTGAACATAGTATACATTCTATGTAATTGGCTCAAACGTAACTTAAGGCCTGCCTTCCTACTCTCTCTTCACTCATCACTACAGCAATCAACTCCTCCCTGTCTTCTGGCACCGTCCCACCGTCCCTCAAAATAGCTGCTATCACCCCTATTCTGAAAAAACCCGGACTAAACCCTGACAACCCTAATAACTTCAGACCAATCTCGAACCTACCCTTTCTGTCAAAAGTTCTGGAATGCGCTGTAGCGTCACAACTTAAGCATCATCTCTCTGCTAATAACCTCTATGAAACTTTTCAATCCGGATTCCGCTCAAACCACAGTACCGAAACCGCACTCCTCAAAATTACAAATGACCTTCTCCTCTCCTCCGATGCTGGTAACCTCAACATCCTCATCCTCCTTGACCTCAGCGCTGCCTTCGACACCATCAATCACTCCATCCTCCTCACCCGTCTTGAAACCACCTTCAACATCACCGGCACTGCCCTCTCTTGGTTCACTTCATACCTCTCTGACAGAAACCAGTTCATCTACATCAATAAGCAAATCCCTCACCGCTCCTCTACCCCAAGGTGTCCCTCAAGGCTCAGTTCTCGGCCCCCTCCTCTTCATTCTCTACCTGCTTCCCCTTGGTCACATAATCCGCCGTCATGGACTTCAATTCCACTGCTTTGCCGACGACATCCAGCTTCTCATCTCCACCAAGTCCATCTCCACTGCTACCCACTCCATCCTGACAAACTGCATCACTGAAATAAAATCCTGGCTCCAACTTAACTTCCTGAAACTCAACTGCGATAAATCTGAAATAATAATAATTGGACAAAAAAGCTCACCACCTATCCATAACTTCACCCTCAACATAGACGGCTTCCCAGTTCAAACCTCCCCTCACATCCGGAACCTAGGCATCATATTTGACCAAACCCTCTCCTACAACAGATACATCAAACAGATCACAAAGACAGCCTTCTTCCACCTCAAAAACATCGCCCGTCTACATCCATCCCTCTCTCCCACTGCTGCCGAAACCCTCATCCACGCCTTCATCACCTCCTGTCTGGACTATTGCAACAGCCTCCTCTATGGTTCACCTGCAAAAATCCTCAACAAACTTCAATATATCCAGAACTCCGCCGCCCGTCTACTCACCCACACCCGAATCCGTGAACACATTACACCCGTCCTCATCAAGCTCCACTGGCTCCCCATCCCCCAGAGAATTCAGTACATGATCCTCCTGATGACGTACAAAGCCCTACATAACCTGGCCCCATCCTACCTGACTGACCTCCTCCACAGACACACTCCCACTCGCTCCCTCCACTCTGCCACTGCCAACCTCCTGTCCCTCCCCACCCGGACCAACCTCAAGTCTTGGGGCGACAGAGCCTTCTCCGTTGCTGCACCCACCCTCTGGAACTCACTAAACCAATCCATCAGAGATTCTTCCTCCCTCACAGCATTCAAAACATCACTCAAAACCCACCTGTTCAACACTGCATTCAACCACTGACCACCCCCCTCCCCCCCTATTTTCTGTTTTGTTTATCTCTTTTTGTATCTCTTTGTCTTTTTTTGTTGATGTCTTTTCTTAATTCTCTGTCAAAGCGTCTTTGAGTTTCATGAAAAGCGCTATAAAAGTCCCATGTATTATTATTATTATTATTAATAAAACAATAACAAGGTTGAACCGTTAACGAGCAGGTGAGAAATAAATCTTACCACAAGATCTATTTAGCAGCTTGACTCCCACTTTCAATCATATATGTTATCCCATGTGATTCAAATATGTTGTTTCTAATGTCATGAGTAAAATAAAAAATCCCTAAAATGTCCTGAGAAATAATTGATTTGAATAAATGGTTTAAATAAAGTATCCACAGCTTCCAGGGAAAGTATATCTGTTAATATAGAATGTTTAATAGAATCAAAGGCTCCAAAGCAGCTACAAAATGTGCCTGGAGGAGAGATGTAATGTTAAATAATGGATTTCTCTCGATATGTCTAAGAAAAATGTTTACACTCTTCTTCTCTGCAGGAGAATTTGCTTTTTGCCTCCATCATCTCGGCCGTGGACCCCGTTGCTGCTCTGAATGTGTTCGAGGACATTGGAGTCAACGAGCAAATATATATAGTGATTTTTGGAGAAGGACTGTACAACGATGCTGTCACTGTGGTGAGTGTGCATTCAATATTTTAAAATGAATTGTTGGGCCATCTAGTCATTTTATAGTGATGAGCTGCGGCTGGATAGAGTATATAAGCTTATAAATAAAATGGAAATGTGGATATTTTTGTTATGCGACAGGCAAATGGAGTTTTCTTTCCCTTACACTTTAAAAAATAAATACTTTAAGGTAACTTCCTTCGATTTGTAAGACTAACTTGAATGTTCATACAGTCCCAGAGGTAACGATATCCTCAGGGAAGTGTAAGCCACACTGAATGTAGAAAAGTGTGTATGTGCATGTCATCAAATGTGTTATCTGACAATCACAACTCTGAGAAGCAGTGTGAACGTGAGTGGGAATGAATCTCACAGTTTCCAAACCTCTGAACTAAAGAGAAACTTGCAGCAAAAAATCCCTCAGCTAACGTCTGATGTTTTTGTGGAGGGAATAAAGAAAGCTCAATTTATATTTGCAGCAGTATTAGAATTTGTGGGGCCGCTAATGCCCAGAATGCAACATTTTTATAATCAGAATATCAATATTCTCTAAATAAAATTGTGAAAGAAACCACCCGTGTGCCCTCGCAGCTTTTCCACCGTGTAATTTCCATTGCTGAGTGGAATTCAAGCATAATAAGCTTGCCTTTCTTTTGGTTATGCTCCAATTGAGACGCTTATTTTGCACAGATTGTCTTCAGGTCACCCAAAGAATAGTGTGTATTAAAATTGTTTTCAATCCATGGACACAAGTCATGTTGTCAGCCTGACCTGAAAGAGTTTCGGAGTAGATTTAAGAGTGGTTGAACCTGCTTGGCAACAATTGTGTGACATGCCTTTGACATCAGGACAGCAAAAAGCTTACACATCTTCCGGCACAGACTGAAAACTCATCTCTTCCGACTTCACTTGGAGCAATAGAATTTGAAATGTTTTGGCTCTATGAAACCTGATGCACTTATATGGCCCTGTTTTATTCAAGTTTGTGTCTTCTTGATCGAATGCACTTATTGTAAGTCACTTTGGATAAAAGCCTCAGCTAAATGCAATGTAATGTAATTAACCCTGTTTGTGTTCCTGATGTTCTCCATCCGTCTCTCCAGGTTCTTTACAACATGTTTTCCTTTCTGGCCGACTTGCCAGTTGTTGAATCCACTGATGTGTTTCTGGGGGTGGCCAGGTTCTTCATAGTGGCGGCCGGAGGCATCCTCTTCGGTCTCCTGTTTGGATTTGTGGCTGCGTTCACCACACGCTTCACTCATAATGTGCGCCAGATCGAGCCCCTCTTCGTCTTCATGTACAGCTACATGGCGTATCTGGTAGCAGAGTGTTTCGCCATCTCCAGTGTGTTGGCGTAAGTGTAGGAGAATCATTAGATACTCCTTTGTAAGTACAACAATGACATTTAGGATATCCATAAAGGTCACCTATTATGCAAAATCCACTTTTTACGTCGTCGTCCCCCCTCCCACCTTTTCACCTGAATCTCCTCCTAGAGCACCATTGAGTTCTTTGTAACCAAATGTCTCTCAGAGGGGCGTGGGGAGTGGCTCCTTATTTTCATCTAAAGTAACAGACAGAGAATCAGCACTTTGGAAACAGGGCTGAAACAGAGAGGATTATGTGATGCTACAATCATCTGTTTGGTGTTTCAGACAAACACTTTGGACATATTAATGAAAAACAGTATAATAGGGGACCTTTAAGTTTGCTTATGATAATCGACCATGTGTTCTGCAGCATCATCACATGTGCCATCACCATGAAGCACTATGTGGAGGAGAACGTATCGCAGAGATCCTGCACCACCATCCGCCATGTGGTCAAGATGCTGGCCACCGTCTCCGAAACCCTCATCTTCTTCTTTCTGGGTGTCGTTACGATAACCACGGAGCACGAGTGGAACTGGGCCTACATCTTGTTCACACTGCTGTTTGCCTTCATCTGGAGAGGGCTTGGTGGGAGGCTTAAAATCAATTCTAAAAACTCTCCTCTTAAATGAGTGCTGTTTGTCAATTTCTCTGATTGTCTTGCAGGCATCCTGGTGCTAACCCAGATCATCAACCCGTTCCGTACCATCCAGTTCACCTTCAAGGATCAGTTTGGCCTCGCCTACGGAGGCCTGCGAGGGGCAATCTGCTTCGCCTTGGTCTTCACCTTGCCCGATAACATCAACAGGAAGAACCTGTTCGTCACAGCGTCAATTGCTGTCATTATATTCACAGTGTTCTTACAGGTGAGCCTGAGAACATCTTCAATCATGCATTTATCATGTTCAAAGTACATGTATTAGCTTTTTCTTTAATAACTGACAGTTACGTGTTTCTGTTTATGCAAAACACGTAATTCTTAGTGGAAACCTCTTAGTGGAAACCTCTTAGTGGAAACCTCTTTGTATGAAAATTGAAGCCAATTAGGAAGTGCCTTCGACCTGCATTATTATTTATTTTTTAAAGAGTCAGAATTCAGTTCCATCAAAGATGTTTTTTAAATCACAATAAATGGGATGTAAATGTACACAGAGGAAGCCACACATTTTGAAAATTTGACATTAAAGTCACCATTTTTTGGAGGAAAAGCTCTTTCATACAGTCTTTGATGACACACTAAGCACCAAACATAAGTGCCGAGAATAGTTTTTTATTGTTGTTTTAAAAAAACGATTTCAGGGCATCAGCATCCGTCCCATAGTAGAATATATGAACATCCGGAAAACCAACAAAGACCTGAACACCATCAACGTAGAGGTTCATTCCAGGGCAAGTATTTTCCTTTAAAATCTTTAAATTCATATTTTTCATTCTGTCAAACACCCCATGTTTTAATGAGCCTACCTTTATTTTTCATGCAGATGATGGAGCACGTTGTTTGTGGTATTGAGGACCTTTGTGGACAATGGAGCCATTATTACTGGAAAGACAAGTAGGATATATTCAATACCGACTATTTTAATTTATATTGAGTATTTATTTGGGTCTCATCCACATACATGTTGGCGGTTTTCTTTTCTTTGTCTTTTGTAAGGTTTAAGAAGTTCAATGACCGTGTTTTGAGACGCATCCTGGTCCGAGACAACCGGGCTGAGTCCAGCATCGTGGCTCTGTACAAGAGATTGGAGCTGCAGAACGCCATGGGGTTACTGGACTCACCAATGGGAGACCTCAGTGCAGCGCCATCCATCGTCTCTCTGTAGTATGTTCAACAATTTCATTTATTACTAAAACATATGTAATGTCTTGCTGTAAGGTAGCTAAACGTTTTATCCATAACCGCATCAGCTTAATGCATACAAACTAAATCTAATTGCTGATCTTCTGTTTCTCCCATTAGATTCATATTATCCCAATTGCCCATCTTAATGGATGGATTTTACATTTCAGCAGCATTCACTGTTTATTGCTCTTTCCTCCTTCTGTCAGCGACGAGAGGAAGGAAGCGTCTCGGCCTAAGAGGAAGTTCCTGGCTGGTGACGTGAGGAAAATGCATGACATCCTGTCAAAGAACATGTACAAGATCAGACAGAAGGTAAGTACAACTGCAGAGAAACATTTCTAAAGACATTAAGGCTGTGTTGATTCAATGCCACTTAAATGTTCTATGCTTATTTGTATTCCTTTACCTGAAATAACATGTGCACATTTTGTTGCTTCCGAACTATAATGACTATTATTCCAGATTTTTCTTTTTTATGACGAAAGCGTTAGTCTGTCACTAAGCACTTTTTGTTTTCAATACTCTCCTCTTGTTGCTATGAGATGTAAATCTTCAAAAATAGTCCACAAAGATACAGATTGAGCAAATGCCACACAACCACATTTTTTAGTAACTTTTTTCGGATCTATATCACAGAAGAAGGCATATCAGACTTTGGATTCAAATCTATTTTATACATGTTTCCCAGACGATGGCGTACACCAACAAATACAATCTGCCCGACGACACCCGAACCCAGGAGATTCTGATTCGCCGCCATGCGAGCATCAGACGCAGCCTGCGTGCTGAAAGTTTCCGTGAACCGGTAGGTTTTAGAGGTCAAAAATACTTTATTATTCGCCTATAGCTGCTTACTCTTCCTCCTCTTCCAGTCTGCACAGAACACCTTCAAGTCTCAAAAGTACTACTCCCTGCAGCCTGGTGGTAGTCTGGAGACTGCCTTTGAACTAAGAAGAAGAAGTAATGGTGAGTAGACCAGTGTTTTTCAAAGTGGGGGCCCCGACCCCCCGGGGCGCCAGGAGGCGCCAGGGGGGTCACGCAAAGTTTGAGGGAAAGGGGAATTTTTTTTAAAGTTACATTTTTTTTCTTTTTTAGATGTTATTAATAACTACATATCTATCAATCTATGTGTCCTTTGATGCCAATCTTTTAATATTTTTTATTTATTAATATAT